TTTTTTTTTGTTGTTTTATTGAAGACAATTAATTGGTCAACGTTCATCAAGTGCAATGAACGATGAAAGACAACATATACGTTCACCAATACCATTAGTGGAAGGTGAAATTGCCAGTGCACAAGGTCCTTCTCGTCGTCGACATCGTCATCATCATCGTCATCATCATAGTGAACATGGTATTTTTGGACAAGTACATCAATGGCGTCAAGCTCATGGTCATACGAGAGCTGGTGTTGATGGTTATGGTCATATTAACGAAGATTTAATCTTCATTGAACGTGGTGATCATAGTCCACATCGACAAGAACCACCAGCTGGTTATGAATATAAGGGTAAAATTGAAGTTCAAGGCATTGATAGAGAAATTCGTTCACGATCTCATGGTGCAAGCGCAATTGTTGCACCACCACCCCCACCAGCTATTCCAAGATCTCAACCTGTCGCACCAACTTCAAGCTTTGGTCCTTGTCCACCTGGTTGGCAACAAGTAATTTTGACAGCTGCTCCTGGTGGACCATGTCCACCTGGTACAGTACCATATACTGCGCAAACAATAGGAGCTACTGCCGGAACTCAAACAGGCATAGGTAGTTTTGGTGCAGGTCAGTATTATTAGTTTTTGTTCTTTTATTAATACTTCTTAGTGTTTATTGATTAGTTGGATCATTTGGAGCAGCTGGTTCTGGATATAGTAGTTCAGGAGCTGGTCTTCCTTTTTCATCACAATGTCAATTGATTGCTGATTATATATTTGCACCGAGTACTACTGGTATTAGTACAACAGGTGGATATAAAAAACATACTAGTACTGCCATTGTTGAACCATTGTAAGTTATAATAGATAGACAATTGATTTCAACATTCTATTATATTTAGTCAAAGTGAACAAGTATTAGAACGTATTTCTGGTCGACCAACAATTATTGAAGTTTGGCAAAGACGATCGAAAGTAATAATTTTTAAATATTATTTAATTGATATCAAAAAAGAACAAAAAACAAAAATTTTTTTATTTTTAAGTCTGAAAAACCTGACAAACCACGTTCTGGATCTCGATCTCCATCTCCACCTCGTCGTCGTTCACGAACTCCAATAATAGGTCCATCGTTTGATTTTGAACGATTTCGTAGTGAAATTCTTTCAGCTATCGAGTAAAGTGTCTACATATATATATATATATTCAATTTTTTATTCTAAATTTTCTTTTATAAAAATTTATAGACGTATGGTACCACGTGCAGTAACAGGGCCTACTGAAATACAATGGACTGGACGTGATGGTGGTACACAAACTCAGATTCATCCAAGTACAGGAGGTGAAACTCGAATAGAACGTGAAACACGAGTAGAAACACCTGGCGAAGTTCGAGTTATTGTACAACCAATTCAACCTGTCTTTTACATGCCTCGACAACGTAAGAAGATAAATTTTTAGTATATTTCATAATTCCACTTTTTTTTTTCAAATAGCTACTGTCACACCAAAAATAGAAATTACACCGCAAATTGGTCCTCCTCCTATTATTCCACAACAACAACCAACAACTCCTAGTGCACCTAATGTTGTTTACGTTCCACGTAATGTTTACGTACCTGTTATTAAACCTGTTTTTGTTCCACGTGAACGTAAGCTATTGATTATTTGATTTTATTCACAAAAATAAAAAT